TGATTTGGCTGACAGAGAAACTTTCAAAGCTATGATACTTGAGCCAGACAACTAGGGTGTACGATACTTACTCCTATTGTGATGGGGGGATATTAAAATTAGGAACAGTAAGAGGGGTTTTTTTTGCCGGGGAAGTAAAGACAAGATCTAAGCAAGTGCTTTGGTTACTACTGAAAGAACTGGGGGGAAAAAGTACTCTGGAAAATCAGAACCAAAGAAAAAAGAGCCTTTTGCCTTTCAAGTTCACAAGTCTGTTTCATATAAATATAGCTAACATAATACAGACAACCTCTATCTGTGAAGAATCCAAAGAAGTTCATAAAGATGGTGTTGAATCTTCTGAACAACAAACAGTAGCGCAGAGGGTCACCTCCAATGTCCTAGGCCCCAAAATGAAGGACTCATATAAGGTATCAAGACTAATGGCAGTGGTTCTACAAAGTTCAAGAAAGAAGGACAACGCAGGCAGGCATGAGTGAAATGTCATAAACACATTGCCACACTATTACAAAAATAAATCACCTATCTAAAAAACATGTGATCTTGTATAGAAAATAAACAGGCATTTTTCAGTAATTATGCTTCCGTAGTTCATCTCTGTGCTATTCTCATTCTCCTTGGACCGTATGAGCCATATCTGTGTTTTCCTACCACTATGAAATACTTCACTTAACGAGAAACAATGGGGAGATACTTCTGTGATGCTGTGTCTTCTGCATGTATAAGAGTTTTTCAGGGGTGAGGGCGGGAATGGTAGGAATGTACATGTGTGAAGCTTGAGCCTAATTATGTTTTATAGAAAAATATAGGAATAATTTTCCTTATAACACTGTTCCTTGGAAATGTGATATGCAGACATGAGCAATGAGTTAATAGATTATATGGGTTTGCCAAATTTGAGCTTGAAGTAATTGTAAAGTCCAGCACAGAGAAAGGTCACCCCAGAAAAATCTCACACTTCAAGAAGGCTTTGGCAAGAAGCAAAGAATGAGATTTTAATCACTGCAGCTAATTACATAGAAGACTAAATCACAAGAAGAGTTATTTAAGTGTCTTAAATACAATAAAAAGTAATTAACAGGAAGCGCCATCTTGACAGCTTCATGTCACAAAGTAGGCCTAAAAGGATCAGCTAATTCCCAACCCTGAAGCCAGAGAATGAGAAACGACTCAAGGTTTGAGCTTTTTATTTTTTATTTAAACTGTTTTGATTAGCAGATAACAACTCTTGCCCACTCCACAGGGAAGTTAATCAAGAAAAAAAATTTAATATAGTAGAGGAATGATGAAACTTGTTTCCATTGATTCCCCAGAGGGTAAGAGATGGGAGCTGAAGCCTGTGTCATACCAGTAAGGCCTCCCAGGGTCCTGAAACTCACCTCCCTTGGACACAGCAAGAGGAAAAACAGAAGGATTCCACAGAGCCCTCCTGAGGATATAGACAATTCACATAATTTGTATGTGAAACACACCTAAAATGGGCTTTGAAATACCCCTGGTGAAGGACATTATCTCATCTGTCTCTTCTCATTCTCCTAGGATCAACTTCAGAGGCAGTCCTGTCAGAAGCTGCCTGGTGTCCTAAACAAATGGAAAGCCATCAGCTGGAAGACAGGCCTGCATGTGAGTAGGTGAGCCTGCAAGTTATGGCAGACATCATTTTAGACTGGATCTCCTCTGAATTCCACACCATTTCTACAGCATAAACAAAGCTTCTGCTAAGAGGGGCAATGTATTTCACACAGATTCTTTTAGCCATGCTCCCTCCACTCACCCATACAAAAGCAATCCAAATAAGAGACTGTAGGCCATAGCAACACACCTCACCCCACCCTGCTGATCCATTTGCCTTGTCCCCAGATCTAGCTTACCCTGGTGGTGTCTGTTATTCCAATTATGTACTATATTACCAAATATTGTGCTAAATACTAAGGTATGAATACACAAAGAACAAGTATTGATGGAAACACTTGCACATTTAAGAAAGGTTTAAAACAAGAACGGTGTTAAAATGGCTGTGAAGTAAAAGTGGGACAACTATAACTGATGATAGGGATATAAACCTCAAAATTATAAGGTTCTAAAATTAGTGCTTTTTGAGTCCTCATTCCAAACAGGAAGTTACGTAGTTTACTAGGCTACCAAACAGGAGGTGATTCACGCTGCCCAAATCTCAGAGATTTGAAACTATATGTATATATTCATGCTTGAATGACAATCCAGGATTTGACACATAGCTGTAAATGTCTTCTTTTCTAGCAGGTGTTTTTAAATACCTAACCCATTAGGTCAGATGCAATACTATTCAGATTTTTAGAAGTAATTTCAGAAAAAAAGACATATAAAAATTGAAATCTAGGCAAAGGGAAAAACTATGAATCAAGTTAGAACACAAAAACATGTCACCTTACTGAAGATGACCCACCTTAGCCACTAAGCTTCCAATAACCAAATAAAAGAAGGTAAATATTAGGAACAAGCCATCCCAAGTAATGAACATTTAAGTAAGCCTTGTTATACCTCACAAAGGAGCCCTTAACAATCCAGTTAATAAATCTTTCAATAAATTCCTTATTGCCTATCATTTGCTGAATAGTAGCACTATTATACAGATTAAAGAAGACAAAATTCCCTATTTCCAGGGAGACAGTAGTCTAGGTAGAGTGCTTTTAATAGCATCAGTAAATTCTACTACCCAGAATATACAAGAAGTTAGAAAACTCAACCACAAAACCCAAGCAATCCAATTTAAAAATGGGAGAAAGGGTCTGAGTGGATAGTTCTTAAAAATAAGTTATGACAGCTGTGTATGATGGTACACACCTGTCATCCTAGGCCTCTGAGAGGCTAACACAGGAGACTTGAAAGTTCAAGCCCAGCTGGTAAAACTTAGCAAGCTCCTGTCTGAAAATTAAAAAGAAAAAAAGGGGAGTTTGGGGCTGTAGCTCAGTGTGAAAGCCTAAGTTCATCCCCCACTAGAGGGGTGGGCGTGGGGGGGGGGCGGGACACACAAATGGCCAGCTACTGCACTGGAAAATGTTCACTCACACTCGCTACCAGGGAAATGCAAATCACAGCTCAGTGTGCTACCATCTCATTCCAGTCAGAATGGCCACTTTCAAAAAAGCAAAAAGTAACATATACCAGTGATACAAAGGAGAAAAAGGGATCTCATATACTGCTGGTATGAATGTAATCTAGTACATCCACTGTGGACAACAGCATGGAGGCTCCTCTAAAAAACTAAAAGCTAACCTGCATGACCCAGTAATCCTATTTCTAGTGCATCCAAAGGAAACAAAATCAGCATAGAAAAGAGACACCTTCATGAGCTGACAGAGTAATCTCAGTCAAAGACAAATAAATACACTTGAACCTCAAGATTTGATGCCACAGGGCATGGCTACAACACTCTCCACTGGAAATGTAAATCGGCTCTCTCACTAAGATTGCTCTAAAATTTTAACAATCTCCAAAAGAGATTCCATAAAGGTCTGAAATTACGCACTGGAAACTTACTTTAAAAATATACCTAGGTGGTAACTAAATGAGATAACACACGCTAATGGAGTGTTAAATAAACACTGGTAGAGGCCATCTTCCAAAAATGAAGATGTACATTATTATAGACTGAAACTGTTTTCCCCAGTAATTAGATAGCAGGAGCAGTAATCTATGGTGATGATTCCTCACTATATTAAAAATTTTACTGTAGAGGAATACTAACATCCCAGCTCTCTTCAGGAGGGAAATATGCGCTTAGCTCCTGAGAAGTGATGATAAATTGGTAATAAATCATTACTGTAAGTTACACAGCTAGGATAATGACCAAAACGTGGCCTAGTTTTTCACATTTCAAAAATGTGATCTGATTTATCAGAAACCAGCTTCTCCCAAAACCCGCCATCTGATGGTGTGAAGGTAATGACATCAAATGCCTATATTAAGCTTCTCCTGGCAACAGTGAAGCCTCCAATTGTGTGAACATTAACCAAATTAACAAGTACAGGACAGGGAACTGGCTATACAGAGCCATTTCCAAACATGAATTAAAGAAAGAGGGAAAAGAGGCTCCTGGTTGATGGAAGAGTTTCTAGAAGCAAAATAACTACAAGATCCTCATCCCTGCCAATGCATTGCTGCAGCTTATTTACTGTATTTTTGCTGGCAGGCCTCATTATACTTTCAATAAGACAATCTGTTCTGATAAAAAAAAAAAAAAGAAAGAAATGAAAGACACAAACCTATTCTTTTTATCCCCCCACCCCCACCATGGTCTCCTTAAAAGAAAAGAAATATACCAGCTTGGTAACAAACAGCACTTAAGACTGTTAAATAGAGTAAGAAACGATTACCATGCTGGTATATTTTATGCTAAGTAAGAATCGCTACTGGGGACTGACTGATCGTTTTAATATTTATTGTGGAAGCCTGGCCCAGCAGGCTTCCTCCTTCCCCTGTCAGATACCTCCCTTGAAAGATTCTGTTCATCAACCAGACTACCCAAGAGACCTTGGAATATAACCAAGGTACAGCCAGGACAGAGGATTACAGATCTCTCTACCAGGAAAATGTCTGATTAGTCTCTCTTCTTCTTCCTCTTCTATTCTTTTATTTTTTATCTTTTTAGGTGAGTGGTGCTACCATACAACTTCCTAAACCAACATACAGAGAATCATCTTAAACTAATTTTGGACAGTAGTGAGGGCCAGCTTGATACTTAATAAATAGCATTATTAATAGTAATAATGTGTACTTCATAGTGCCAAGCACACAGAGCCCAATAAATCTTAAATTACAACAATGATGAAAGTATATGATTAGCTAATGAGTGATTATAAAGTGCTTTGCAAATATAAAGTGCAGCACAGGCACATAATTACAAACTACTGGGTTAAGTGGAAGAGAAAGCAGAGCAAAGGGAAGGAGAGCCTTGACTGAGCAGGGAACCTTTAGGTACTTGAGACTGAAGCTGGGTTTCTGCCAGCCAGAATACTCACATTCCTCCAATGGTGACAGTGGCACAGGTACGCTCTGAAAAGGCAGGCACTGTCTCCGTGGCAGGGCTGGCTGGTCTAATGTAGTCTACCGTCACATTGACCTGAAAAGAATCAAGGGCATTAGGGTGGGTTTGCATACAGCTAGAAAACATCCAGATGTGCTCATATAATTGTAAAACATCGACTTAGTTTGATTTCCTGGGTCTAAGATCTTATACAATAAAAAGGTAACTGAATAGCAGACTGGTGGAAAAAATTTGCAAAAGCTCTATCTGATAAGAGATGTTTATTCAAAATATATGAATAATTCTTAAATTCAACAATAAGAAAACAGTCTGATTTAAAATACAAAGGAGGGGCTGGAGAGATGGCTCAGTGGTCTAAAGCACCTACTTGAAACAAGCTTGGCAAAGCACAGGGACCGCGGTTCGATCCCCAGCACCACATGCCAGCCAGACCCGCCCCCTGGTGGGCTGAGCTGGCCACACACACACACAATAAATAAATGTAATAAATAAAAATAAATAAATATTTAAAAAAATAAATAAATAAAATACAAAGGACTTGACTAGCTCACCAAAGGTAGAAATTAGGACAAGAGGGACTCTCATCCACCCCTACTAAGAATGCAAAATATCCAGCTACTCTGGATAATAGTACATTGGTTCTTTAGGAAGCGAAACATACCCATACCATTTGATCCTTGAAATTTGCCTGAAGGAACTGAAAACTCTTCCACACAAAAACCTGCTCATGGATGTTAATAGCAGTTTTGCTCATAGATCTAAAAATTTAGGTAGACCCAAGATACCCTTCTGTAGACGAATGCATGAACTTTGCTACAACCAGACAACGGGCTATGATCCAGTGGTGAAAAGAAATGAGCTACTATGCCATGAAGTGAGACAGAGGAACCTCAGATGCATATGACTAAGTGAAAGAAGCACTGAAAAGGTTTCATACTGCACGATTCCAATCGTATGACACTCTGGACACAGCAAAACTAGGAAGGCAGTAAGATGAGCGGTTGCCAGCGGGTGGAGAGAAGTAGAGGGAGCGATGAATATGCAGAACACGGGATTTTTAGGCCAATGAAATTACTCTGTATGATACTGCAGTGGCAGGTACATTCCTTTGTACATTTATCAAAGTCTACAGAAGGTATAATACCAGGCATGGCCCCTACAGACTCAAACAATAATGATGAGCAATGTAAATTCCTCAATTTTAATAAGTACATCACTCTAGTGTGGGGCCCTGTACATGCATGGAGGAAGAAAACTCAATTTTGCTGTGAACCTAATATGGCTCTTGCAAAAAGGCTTTTTTTGGGGGTGGGCTCTTTGTGAGACAGGGTTAATATATGAAGTTCAGGCTGGCATCAAACGCACAGCAATCCTCTTGCTTCAGCCTCCTGAGTGCTGGGATTACAGGTGTGTGTCACTCAAAAAAGAGTATAATTAAAAGGAGGGGAAAAAAAACTGATAAAGAGAAAAGACAAAAGGCTAAACACAAGGCCCATAGAATTCTGACAGAGAATAGGTCTGCATCATTTCTGTGTGACTCAGATGTTTAAGTAAAGCAGTTCTTATTTATTTATTTATTTATTTGGTGGAATCGGGGATTGAACTCAGACCCTTGCGCTTCCCAGGGAAGCACTTATTCTACTGAGCCATCGCCCTGGCTAAGTAAAGCAGTTCTTAAACCTTTGCTGGATCAGAACAGTTGAAGATCTATGTCTAAATGTACGATCTGCCTCTCCCTCAAAGCATGTGATTTTAGCCCATACCTTCTCATGGACTACGTCAGGAACTTCACAGCACAAACATGCTGGCAATTTCTTTCACAGTATGTACATTACAGTGATATGACTAGGCTCAACATGGACAGATTTCAAGTTAAGACATTTTTTGTTTTGTTTCTGTTTTTAATAGAGGGAACAGAGGATAATTTTGAATTAACAAGGGTATGTGCACATACAGACAGTGGGAAGTATGAAATGGGAAACGTTCTTAATCCTAGTATGCACTAAATAAACAACGCTTTTTCTTCATGAAATCATTTAAGATAATCAATTTCTTTGTGAAATCGTTTAAGATCCCTGCCTTGGATCAAGCAGTCTGAGCCATCCCTACAGTCTATAATCCCTTTATAAACACAGCTTCACTTCTCACCGATCAGCCTAAAGACAGAAGATTGCATGAGCATCGAGTTCAGCCGCACTGCTGGTTAGCACCATTAAAATCCTTTCACACTGCTTTTCACAAACTCATTTTTAAAATGAACATAGGAATTTGGAAAAGGACAGCTGCCTCAGAATTCTAACTGTCGGTCACTCATCCCATTGAATCATATCTTAGAAGCAACCAAAAGAAGCCAGCCACATCAAAGGCCAGAGCAATTAAGGACTGAAGTTGAGGTAAATCTCTGTTCTGAGAGGCTGTAATGAAAAAACAGCAAAGTAAGACAATATAAGGATGACACATAAAAATAGGTATCTCCATTGAAATTACCACTAAATCTTACCAACTTCTCTAAAGCTAAGGAGACGACCAAGTGTGAAAACTATAATCAAAGAGATGTATTGATCAAAATACCTCCAACAAAGCAGTTTTAATAGCTTCCCTGCACACAGCTGGCCAGAGTTAATACAGCTCAAAGACAAGGTGAAGAATGAAAGGCTGCAAAAGGAGCCATTTGTCCCAGATGCCCAAGAGAAAGTATTACCCTGGATGTTGTCTGAGTTGATACAGCTGGAACTTTCTTCAGCAAAGGCCTTCCTAGCCACAGAAACAGGGTGATTCCAGAAAAGTAACAGGATATCCAGATAGGATATCCAGGCTATCATGGCAAAAATCATACAGCAAATCACAATTGTGAACTAAGCCTCAAGGATGGCCAAACCATGGTCTGTAAAGTATCCTGGGGTCAAGTTCAATTCATCCAACAAGCTCAAGTGCTCAACTGTATTAACAGGGCACAAAATTCATCCCTGCTTAAAAATAAACTTAGTGAATCTCAAGGTTACCTTGCACCTGCCAATGCCAAACTTTGTCCTCAGAATGCGGACAGGGTGTACCGCAGCTATATGGCACGGAAACACAGCACACAGAGACACTTGTTCCCTACTCGGGGGAGGGAGCTGGCTTAAGCCAGAAGACCACAAGGGTACTACTGTTACAATGGATGGTGGGTGTGACCATAACAAACAACACCTGTGCATCTTCCAGGCCAGAAGATCCTCCCCAAAAGCTAGCCCAAAACTGCTTTCAAGGGATGGTAAGGGAAGAACACGAAATAAACCCCCTTCTATCTTCAATAGCCAAAAGACACAACTATACCCATTTGTCAATTACTTATATCCTGTATCTGGACAAAGAATTGAAACAAATCAGAGATTAAAGAGCTCTTTGAGGAGGCATCATTATTAAAGACAATCTCAGACACAAATGAGGCCCTGAGACTAGCCAACTGCCAAGATACACACCTGCAGGCAACTTTGACAAACCAAGAATTAAAGTCAATGTGTAATTAGCATTTATGTTCCTCTCCTGTGGATTTTGGGATCCATTTCTCAGCCTTGGAGTTTCACCATTCTAGATATTCATCACTGACATGTCAATCATTTCAAAAAGAGCACAGTTTAAACAGTATAAATTAAAATGACTGAAAAAATCTCAGTAATGTTTGTCTGAATAAAAGATGGCCTGAAATTTCAGATGTGGGTGTGTATACATGGAAGGGCATAAGTTAAAGAAACATTTAGACTTGAACTTCTCTTTTTAAGTGAAGATATGCTAGAAATACCTGATATACAAGTTTTTTATATTTCTATACAAAAGATGCAAAGCTACAAATGACCCAGAGCCCAATTCCCGCTTACAGCAACCAACACACGGAGTTGGAAGCTCAAGCTCCTGGCTCTGTCAATGCCTTAGAAATGAATTTTGCAACATTGTTGTGTCTCAGGTTCTCCCCACCTGGAAAATGACAGTACTAGATTCGACCTTCATAATGTCATTTAACTCTAGAATTCTGTTAAGAGATATAGTATTGGGGGCTGGTAAGATGGCTCAGTGGTCTAAAGCACCTACTTAGAACAAGCTTAGCAAAGCACAGGGACCGCAGTTCAATCCCCCAGCACCACATGCCAGCCAGCCC